CAACCATTTTAATCTTTCTATTCAAATTCTAAATTTAACTGTGTTTTTGGAGCCCTTTTGTGACATTTTTTTAGTTAATCTGTCATTGTTTTTCAGCGCTTGTCTTCACGCGTTTGTAAGAACAAAGCATCACGATCATAAAATCTACTACAATGATAATGGAAGGCATCATTTTAAAGATAATTATAGCAACATAACTTGCATTAAGGTTTATTTATAGGGTTATATTAATTAAACATCACATATATACATATAACATATGTGAAAATGTTTTCAACAACATTCCAACACAAAACAACAAAAATAACAAAGAAATATCAAGAACTCTGAGAGTCGTATTACGACTTTGTGGAAAACAAAAAACAAAAGTTATTTCAAAGTTTTAGCAGCATCATCTAAAACCTTCGCCTGCCAATCTTTCCTTCCTAGTAAAAGAATAAAATAAATAACGCAAACACTTATAGCCACACACTAGGGAAACCCTGTATCGCGCTGCCATGGACACACGCATAGAAAACTCACGAGAGAAATAAACGTAGGCCATACAAATATTTCTCCCGGCCTGGGAATCGAAACCGGGATCTCTGAGTGGCAGTCCAGTATAGTAAGTAAGTAAGAATGTACTACTTTTGCGATCTTCTTTATTTGCCTGATAAGCATTGACTTACAATTATATGGACGTCGGGTCCGCGCTAAAAAGTGTCCGCACTTGTAAGGCGCTAAAATCGTATACAGAGCGCGACACTCCGCTTTAGTCTTCATTTGTTCTACTGACAGCGCGATACTGCGATGACATTACAATTTAAATTTCGAATAGGTTGACTTGGGACATTTTTTTCGTGGTTTTTGTATTAGACCCGTCGTCCATTTATTTGTAAGTCAATGCTGATAAGTGAATAAACAATGAGGAAAATATGAGGAGTTACCTACTTATATAAGTTAGCGGGGTATGGACTTGTCATGCGGAAGGAAGATTGTCATGTGACGAGAAGAGAGTTAGATATGAATTTGGCGGGATATAAAGATAAAAGATGGATGGATTGTGTGAAAGGTGACTTGGATAAGAAAGGTGTGAGTACGGAAATGACGGCTGGTAGGGGAGAGTGGAAGAAAAATACATGTTGTGCTGATCCCACCTAGCGTGGGATAAGGACTGGAAGAAGAAGAGAAGTTAGTAAACAATATTCTTCATCAGATTAAAGAAACAGTTTTTGTGATATCAAGTAACGGGATGAACAAGTCGTGCGCCTAATAGTAAGCGACGCGCCTATCTACAATAGTTGCAGTACCACTCAAAGTCTTAAATCGCAAAGCTCTGAGGGGCCACTGCAATAGCACTGCAGTAGTAATTAGTACATTAGACTCTAAAGAAGAAAGGAATTTGAACCTTTGCAGTGTAGATGAAAAGATGGTAATTGAAATTGTGAAATCACTTTTAAGCCTTTGCTCCGTTACCCATTGAACTTGTTAGTCAATGCTCCATCGTTGAAATTCCTGATGTTTTTTTAGTAATATAGTGCCGGAATGAACAAGTCGTGCACCTGGTGGTACGCCTACTCATAAAAAAAGAGTTTATTTAAGTTCACTTAAAACTAGTTTACAGCAAGTTTGCTGGGAAACTCCATTTTTACTTTCATGTCATCGGCAAGTCTTATTTTAACACATTTTCAATATTCTGTTTGTCGAAATCATTTTTTCGTTACAAGAAATGTAAGTGAAGCTTACACCCCTGCAATATGGTCGCTTCTTTTTTGGAGAACTAAATTAATAACTCCGATTCGTCGTGATTCAGCAACTAACCGCTAGATGGCAGGACATTGATTGAAATTTCAATCAATGTCCTGCCAAAAATCAAACATCGTAACTTATATCGCAATAATAGGTGTTGATGGTATTGAACTTCCAACGATATGCTAAAAGGATAAAGTTTAAATTATATTTAAAACCAAGAATCTGTTTTTTCTTTTTAAACTTGAAACTACGACGAATATCTAGATTTTGTAGTGTTTCAAATTAAGTGAGTTTTGGCGACATCGGTACCGATAGTAATCGAGGCTTATAGCACATCCATTGTTTTTTTTCTTCCGTGTGCACAACCAAGTAAAATGTGACAACCCCATGGTCTGCGCGAGGTGTAAGTATTGACGCGGCGAACAGGCGGGAGTTGCCCCACTTGTCTGATATATGGTGGTACTTCCCTGGATTAACTCTTTCACAAGAAGCCCTACTGCTACTAATCCAAATTGGGTTACGTTCACGTAGTAGCACACTTTACGAACAATGTTTTTGTTGGACCCAACCCATTGTATTTCGAGGCTGGGTACATACGCTTCAAACTTAAGACAATGTTTCCTTTGCATACAAAATATATAAGTCCGTGGGCAAACACAAAATGAGTTTAATTGGTCCATTTGCGTCCCTTCCTATGTAAAAGCCTGCTTAATTGAGTTACCAACGCGGGAGGTCTATGTATATCGTACCGTGTTACGCTTTGTCCTGTAATACTCTTGTAAGTACTCCTTTGAAAATGCCTTTATAAATTGCTACTGACGAAGTTTGAAATCTGAAATTTTGGTTGTTATGTAGGTAATATGTTTATTTTGTCATGACCGATCGCGTATACGTTCGAGTGCTTAGGTCTTTGCGATTGTTATACTTAGGAAATGGAACTACGTTTTTGGGTCTAAATCGTGTGTATTTTTTTTATACATTTTTTTTAAACAAACCAACGTTTCGGGGCCTTTTCAGCTCCCATGGTAACGGACTTAAGGCAGACTCTCGGAGTCTCTCGGAGTTTCCGTTGGTTTGATTATTAATATAAAGATCGGCGGCTTAAAAAAATCCTACGATCCAACCGTCTTCTAGCAAACCGTCTCTTAGAGCCAAGTTACACGAGGAGAAAGTAGACCAAATTGAAGCTAGACTCGCCTGCGTGCCCGGGATGCTCATTTAAGTTAAAACTTAAAAGCTTAATAAATTATTTTGCCACGACAGTCAGACGCACGTGTCACACGTGTAACGCACAAATTCGTGTAGAATCAATGCGCCATGTCACTATGCCAACTAAGCCATGGAACGAACCAGTGGGGACCTTACGAATTTTTCTATATGCTTGTTGCATATCTTTGTTTTTGGTTTTTAACGACATTTTCTTCAAATCTATATTTCTTCATTCAACCAGGTACCTTTACAGCTAACAGCAGTTGACTAGTGATGTCGCTTTAATAATTGTAATTAAGTTTAATTGAATGTCAGAATGTTTAATCACCATTACATTCAATTATTTTTTGTGAAAATAATCCACTAGTTTGTTATAATTATTAATACAAAGATCATTGTTTTGTGTTTAGATCCGAAAAATATTTCTTCGTCTGAAGTATAAAACGTAAAGTATACATGACGGGAATTTTAAAATTGAATTTCATAGGAATAAGTTATTGAAATAATAGAATATTTTGCATAAATAATTATTCATTTTGGCGAATGTTTATTGAACAAATATTTAAGGAGATAATTAGATTGTAATTCGGCTACGATTCTTCAATATACTTACAATGCGTTCATTCAACATTTTCATAGGCCGTTGAATAAATGTCAAAGTTTACCACTAGGGATACGGCCTATCCGTATCTTTACTTTACGAACGTACCAATATAAGATCATTGTTAATATTGCTTTGGTTCTGTAGTCTGAATTATCGAGAGTTATATTTCTACGTTTTGACTTGTAGCCATAACAAAATATAACTCCCACCTTTATAAAACGCGTCAATATCTACACGTCACTCAGAGCGTGTAAGGTGGGCCCATCGAGTATATCACCAGAATTAAAGACACAATTTCATTTCTGGTTATGTACTCGATGGGTTGGCCCAATATTATTTTAGTTATACCTAGAGGTTGCAAACCGATTTGTAAAAATTAAGGTATTTGTTGCAATAATTTCGTGCTATATTGAAGTACGTTTGTAAAATTTGTACTTTTATACCAGCATCTCGGGTTGTTTCGATTATGTTAGTGTGATAATGAAATTATTATGGTATTTACATAACGTTTATAAATCAGAACATTATAATACAGATTTTAAGGCTTTCGTGGTAATTTACTAAATTATTGACTAATTACAGGTTTCTTACCACGGTATGAGTTCTTTTTGTTTTCCTGATATTTCATATATTTCCGAAAGAGAGTGGACAGATATGTCTAATCTTAAAGCTGTCGTCTGCCACTGCCCAGTCAACCTGTGACCAAGGAGAGTGTAACCATTCCGAAATATCGGTAAAAAACCAAAAAAGAACTCCTACCGTGGTAAGAAAATTAGTGATAAAACATTATAAATTGACACAGAAAAATATTTTCAATATTTTGAACACCTAGTGAACGTTTTCAGGTCTATATTATGAATTAGCGATAGGGCGATTATTAAAAGATATCGAATAAATCGATGGCTGCACTATCATTTGATTTAGTCAACTTTACCAAAAAATAATCGAATATAGTTATAAATTTAGTAATTACTAAATAAATTTTCGGTGTCTAAAAAAAGGTTCTCTATATTATGGAATGTAAAAAAAAACTAATTTATTAACAATCAATCCTATTACTTTTACGATACATGATCAACAATAAAAAATTAGTACCTAACTACTAGATTAGTAACTATTTCGATTCATAACCGATATTTGATCAACAATCAAAAAGTGAAGTGTAGTAACTAATTGATATCAACAATCGAATAATTTTGATGTTTATAGTCGAATAATTTGACTATTTTTAGTAACTATCGCCCATCGCTATTATGAATGGCGCGTACGACTCGCAATCGCAATGTGCAACTCGAGTGCACTGCGCGATTATGCGATTGTGTGCATCTGCGGTGCGAGACTGGAGTCTCAAACATAATAATGCTGAAAGAACACGGTACCATAACCAGTTGTCAAAAGAAAAGTCCCATTATCTCTGGTAGTAGATACTGATTACCATTCCTCTGCTTGTCTTCAGATGACGACCTGGAAGCTCTCCTAGAAGAGGTAGTCCGTGCCACCAACCGCGGCGTCTCGGCTGCCAGAAATGTCAGCGGGGGACCCAACTGGAGTTTCGGGCAATCCTTGTTCTTCTCTTCCACCATTGTCACGACTATAGGTAATTAAGTGTTGCAAACTGAACATATTTTATAAATTTTACCACTATTATTATTAATGCAAGTTCATAGGCGGTATATTTATTTTTCTCCTTTATCGCAAAGTAGCAATGCTGAGGGCCTTATACCTACTTATTTACCATGTTACTGTCATCTTCTACATAGTCGAGTAGCGTCGAATTACGAAAGTATATAGTTCGTTTGTGTTTGTGGCTCGGCTCGATTGTGTTTTTATGTTCGCCTGCCGTTGCCACATTTAAAGTTGAATTTATTTTCTAATTTGAAGAGCAAAAAATAATTTTGACTCGTTAGGGCTCGGTCATGCTCGCCCCGGCCGTTGCAGCAATTGCTGTAACGCCCGGGGCCATGGTCCTCTCTGCACGCCCCTGCTTCTATACGACCTGTTTCTAGATAAATGTATTATGAACAACTAGGAAGTTTAGATAAATATATCTGCCTATGATGTTCTCTTGTTATAAAGTATGATATCGTGAGTGATGTTTTGTAGAAGGGGGTAAAGGCGAAAGCGCCATTTCGAAAAATAATTCAGGGGAGCATGTTTTAGGGTTTAACGACTGATTTAAAATATTTAGATACGTCCTGTTTTAAAATTCAATTTTGGTTTTAAAGTTTAAGTTTTGAACGCACGCACTTCCTACTATTTTCCCAATCAGAGTAATTTGTGTTCACCTTTTCATCTATTTCAGGATACGGCCACGTGACCCCACTATCGAAGCCGGGAAAACTATTCTGCATGATATACGCCGTTCTTGGCATACCACTGACGCTGGTACTCCTGACTGCCATGGTCGAGTGTCTTTTGTTACCCGCTACTGCGCTGCTAAGGACTATGAATGCCGCGCTAGGGCATCTGTACCGACCATTCACAATTCGTCTGTTGCATTTGCTGTTTATTGGTAAGCAGTCTTTTGAACTTGAAATGTTATTATTGGAATGTGCTGTACTATCACTTGCAAGAGTATGAAAATGCGATGTAACCGTAGGTAATTACGAGTTATAAAGGCCCCCCCCATACACAGACGATTCCTCATTTCGATCGATCGTCGCGATAATCGTATCGATTCGTCGTTACTCCCCTGACATTCAAGTTAATCGTTGACGACATAAACACACACTATCGATTCGTCGTTTCGATCTATCCGAAACGACGGATAGTGAAGATGAATTGTGGGCCTAAAAGGCACCCATATATAGACGACTCCTCACTTCGATCGTACGTCGCGATAATTGTATCGATGCGTCGTTACTTCCCAGACGTTCAAGTGAATCATTGACGATTTAGACACACACTATCGATTCGTCGTTTCGATCTTTCTGATACGACGATAGATCGTAATGATAAATTGCCCCGTGAACAGGGTTATTAATGTCAATTATTTTTTATTCCAGTGCTTTTCGTGTTGATATTCTTATTCATAATCCCGGGGGTTATATTCGCCGAAATCGAGCCGGATTGGGACTTCCTGGACTCTTTTTATTACTGCTTCATCTCGTTGACCACCATTGGGCTTGGCGATTACATCCCTGGAGATTACCCCGGACAACAGTATCGGCCGTTGTACAAGATTGCCACTACTTGTAAGTAATTTTTGCCTTGTTATAAGACGGTAAGATGTTGTGGTTTAAAGATTACTTGTGTGTACGTTGCTGTCAGCATTTACTGAGCGGTAAACACATTTGCATTTTGAAGTTGTTTAATGGTGGCACTTCACATGGCTACTTGTATTCGTTATTGGGTGTTTGATGTAAGTACTTGTAAAAATATTCGACGTACAAACAAACATGCAGACACTGATAAATATGACGTCTACCATAGAGTGTATAAACATAAGTAGAGACGAAACAAGGGCCATCCATCCCTGGCAACTCATCAGGCAAATGAGCCTTTCAACTTTTCAACTCTCGTTTGCACTGAAATCACAAATTAGAAAGCTGAAATAGTACAGCGCCAACAACTGACCTGTGTGTACTGTAACTGGGGGTAGCTCTAATCCGTAGCGAGAGGTACTTCTAAGAATATAAACTGGGATTAACTTCAAAGGTTTGGTTTATTTCAGATTTTTTACATGGTTTATACTTTCAGTCTAGG